GAGCACATTCTTTACTTGGGTGTGTTACTCTGGCCCATATACCCAGTGACTTGGAAAGTTGCTAGCTTCAAGTGGGGCCTCCAGGCTGTTGTGCAGGCTGCTCTACCACTTGGACCTTATGATCCAGCAGACCTGATGGTACTTATGGTGTCAGTGGCAGATAGGAATACTGTTTGGAAACTTTGTCAGGCTCCTATAGTTGAACCACAGAAGAGACCTTTGGGATTTTGGAGCAAATATCTACCATCATCTGAAGACAACTGTTCTCCGAGAGTCAGCTCTTGGTCTGGTATTGGGCCTTAGTGGAAACTGAGTATGTGGCAGTGGGTCACCAAGTTATCATGCAACCTGAGTTGTCCATCATGAGATGAGCAGCATTATCTGACAACCAAGCCTCAAAGTAGTACAAGCCCAACAGCAATCCATTATCAGATGGAAATAGTATATAAACGATTTGGCCCAAGCAGGTTTTGAAGGCACAAGCAAGATTCATGAAGAATTTGCCAAAATGCCTGTGGTTTCTATCTCCATAATAAATTAAAATAACATGTTTTTAGTTGAACATAAACCTTCTGTAGGTGGGGCAGCCCTTGAGCAGCAGAGTAGCAGGAGCCGTGTACAGAGAGAACAGCCTGGGCTCAACTGGGTCAGTGAGAACTTAGCTAGCTCTGAGACCTGGGCTGTCCTCACTGTGAGAAGAGATAGTCCTGGGAATGTTTGGGAAGCACTCTAAATCCATTGAGCAGGGTGCCTGGTGCTCAGTAGGCACTCGGTAAACATTAACCTTTTTGATCCACTCTGGTTTGATAGGTACTGTTTGTTACTGTTTGAATGTCTTTCATTTCCCACTCCCTAGACATAGGAAGCTCAGGGTCTAGTTTGTCATGGGGAGAGAGGGTGAAAACTGTTGCTGTTGGTTTTAGAAGAGAGAAAGCAACCAAAGAAGCAAAGGTGAATTTGGTATTAGCTGAAGAAAACTGCAAAATATTGAAATTTTTCTTTGACATTAAGTCCCAGAATAAGTGCCCTTCTTTGTTAATTACTATGGTGAGCCACAGCATGCATGCAACTGCAGCTCCCTCCCCTTTAGGGACACGTTGAGATAATAGTGGTTTATACTCCTTTGTCTCTGCTTCTCATCTTCATTCTTCACTATACTGTGACCTACTTCTCAGTCCTCCAAAACTGCCGAAGACTAATGTGCTCCTCATGGCCAAACCCAACAAGCAGCCCTTCTTTCCTCAACCTTTTGATAGCTGAAGCTGTGGTTTCCCTGGCAGTGTTGTCTAGTTAGCCACTGTAGTTGGTCTTTCTTGTCAGATTTTCTCTTGGGGACTGCCAGCTCCTAAATAATGCCATGGAGGCTATTATTATGAAAACTCGACCTTTTGCTCAGACTTGTCCCTAACTAACTCTTATAATTTAATTAACCTGTTTCTATTAATCTACATTTTGCCACATGGCTTTTTACCTGTTGGCGTGGTCATATCTGATGGCAACAGCAAAAGCTGTAAAGCCAGCAGAGCTGCTTGACACAGATCCAGCAAAGTGGAGCTGCACAGTACTGCTGTGCCACTTTTGGTTTTGCTCTCCACATGTTGGATACTTGGGAAATTTTTAATATTCATACAATTTGAGGATATTAGATTGAAGGAAAATTTCTTATGAGTCATTTGTGCCTTCTCCCAGAGTACTGCTGCTAAGCTTCCAAAGGAAAGTCCTGAGCTATCCCCTTCCGCTTTAGGAAGATATCCTTATCTACTTGAAGGTCTTCCTTATGCCTTGAAAGTTGTGACACACACAGAGAAGCCAGAGGTCTCTTTATGAAAATAAGAGATATTCTTGAAACATCTAACCCTGTACTTACTCAGGAACACGAAGGCAGAGATGTCGGGCGCTTAAAAGAAATTTCACACTGGCTCAGAACTGAGAGATAGACATTTATTTTGGGGGAAAACTTACAAATCAGGATTCTCTGCTTGATTGGTAAATGGAGATGAGATCCAACCAAGCAGAACAGGAATCAGTGGGGAGGAGAGAAGGGACCAGACACGCTTCAGCATCCGGGTAAATAGTCTATGAGGCCATTCCCCAGTAGGCGGGTAAACCTTCCTGAAGCAGGAACAAGATAATCAAACAAAGTAAACTTTAAAATATCAACATGATTGGATGGGCTAGAGGAGCTAGCCACAGATCAGATTGCAAGTCTCTTCCTACTATACACTCCGGTGATTATGTGGCACATACAGCAACAAAGTTAGATTGGCTAAAGTTACCTCTGTCCCATACAGAAATTTATTTTGATGGGCAAAGAATGGTGTGGATAAAAGGATGAGGTGTCAGAACTTTCCGTTTTAGGAAAGTTAGCTTGTGCAGAGCCACTGTGGTGTTTTATGACCAAGGAACAAAAGATTTCCACGATTCACATAAATTCTATAAAGATATAAAATGTAGACACTGTATTATGCCAGAAATTGAATAATAACTGTAGCAGCTTTGGCCTGAAGAGTTTTCTTGGGCACTCTGGCTACTAAGAGTTGATAAACAGCTCGGGACATGGCAAACTGCCCAGGCAGGCTTTAAGATTTTCTGTCTATCGTCCTTGAAGCCCCAAAAGCTGGCAGTCTGAGAGTGGGCTGTCATATGCCTCGAGAAACTTAAAAGTTGTGTTACGGGGTTGATGAGTAAAAATGATTGTAAAAGATAATTTTTTTCTGTCATGGCTCATCAATGATGATTAAACTTATGACTCTAGTGTGCAAGAGGAAAAGTTAAACACATGTCTAAAACCAAAAATGATATGATCTATATTTTGGAACACATGAATCTATCCATGCTTACTGACTTCTGTATAAAAAGGCACTCTCGCTGCCACTCAGTCAGGCTACAAGATTCTCTCAACCATCATGCCTGGCTCATCTTTCTGCCGCCAACTCCTTCCCTCCTCTTTGGGACCTGGTTACTGTCAGGGCTGGTCCCTGGCAACCTGTCTTCCATTCTGTATGTCTGACTCCACTCCTGTCTACCTGGTGGCTCCTTGTGTACCTAGATTCATTCCATGTTCCTTTCTCTGCCCAGAAGTCCCACCCAACCTCTCCTGCCTAGCTATTGGCCATTCAGCTTTTTATAGTGCAAACAAATATCATCCAACATTTCCTCCTTTTTGTGTAAAAAGCTCTTAACACAGTAAAATTACATATGCAGTAATAACAATTATCAAATAATGATTACATTCATAATGTCTAGTTCATTTGTATTTGGCGATTCAGAGAAACTACTCTTTTACCTATCCTATCTTAGTGAGTTCAAAATTTTATACCTAAACCACTTTCTATCATAACTTGTACTGCCTACCTAAAAATACCTTTTTAGATTTTAAAACAGTTTCTTAAATAACTTAAACTCTTATGTCTCTCAATCTTATAAACTTTACATCTTTTTTAAGTTTCTTTTTTGACTTTAGTAACAAAGAAAACAATATAACTGTCTTAAGTCTTTAACACTATCAGAGACTCAAGAAAGATATATTACCTGAGTAAACAGGAAGCGTAGAGAAAGCCTTCCAAAACTATAGAAATAACAGAGACAACTATCTGTCTGGACAGTCACCCAAGGTTACTCTGTAATGTTGGGGCATCCATCTTCAGCCTACAGGCCTAGAATATCTGACAGACTGTGAAACAGGAATTTTGAAGGACTGTACTACTTTGTCTTAGCAAAGTTCAGCAGTTGCTTTCTTTTGTGTCCTGCTTGTCCAGTGTGGACTGTATATTGTCAGCAATTGAGGCAAGGGCAGTTCTTATCCTAGTTTTGCCACAAAGAAAGCAAACTCCATATGGAGGTTCTTCAATGCCCACCATCATTTTGTGAAATAAATTGTTGCTGCGAGGAACAGACATGTCTCAATGTCATGAAAAGCCTTTATGTTATTAAAACACTTTTAATGACATGTTCTGTGGGTTTCTGAAGTTCTGAAGACCATTTTTATATCTAAAATATATCTATGATTGACCTTGACGGGAAGAGACAGCACTCAGTCAGTCTTATTCTGAGATTCCTGGAGGCAGGATCACCATTTCAGATTGAGGTAGAGGTAAGAGCCAGTGGCTGGCCGTTTTGCTTTTCTGACCACATTGAACCCCGATATGTCTCTTGGTTTTTATTAATCATGCTTCAAGTTTTATCCCCTGTTGCATCCCTACATATAGCTCTTCCTTTGGGCTAGTGGAGGCCTTCATCATTTCTTGCTTGAATACTATTAGCAATCCAACTTTAAAAAACTTGCTGCCCCTTTCAGTGTATCTGCCACAAACTGCCAGCCATTCAATACCTCTATTTGCATAGTTAGTCTTATCCTATTGCTTTTGGATAGATTGTTGTAAATTGGCAGAAGTGGCCCATCACTTAGGTCTCTGTGCACTGTTTCTTGGGTCTTTCTGCTGTGTGCATAATTCACTGTGGGAGTACCAGCCCACTTGTAGTGCCTTGTATGTGTCACTCTACCCTCACATGTGCTTTTCAACATGCCCTTTTGTTGGGTTTCTGTTGCCTTGCAAACTCAAGTTTGTTTTCCTGCTTCCTTGTGTTTATTTTTTTGGTTTCTCGAGACAGAGTTTCTCTGTAGGCCAGGCTGGCCTCGAACTCGGAGATCTGCCTGTCTCTGTCTCCCATGTGCTGGGATTAAAGGCGTCCACCGCCACCGCCCAGCACTTCCTTGTGTTTCCATGACCATCTTTGCACTTTTTATATCTGTTAGGCCATGGGCTCCTGGAATGTAGCATCATTCATAGTTCTGTTCTGTGATAAGACTTCATATTACTATATTAATTACAAGTTTTAAAAATCTTCAGTTCTATCTTTCTTACTAGTTCATTAATGTTTATTGTGTCTTGGTGACTATTATTGAAAGTCAACTTCTCAAGACTGATTCTCATAAATAATTTATGTTACTAATGTTTATATTGTATCTATTTTGAAATACTTTAATTTACTCCTTGTAGCTATAATGATCCAGCCTTCTATGAAGAATGCAAACTGGAATACCTCAAGGAAAGGGAAGAATTCAGAAAAACTGGAGTTCCTACCAAGAAGAGGCTACAGAAGCTTCCCACAAGCATGTAGGCAAACAGTAAGTCAGGAAGCACATCTTATGGAAGCCACTTGCAATATAACCCAGAAATAATGGACTGAAAAAACTGTTTGCTCACCTAATCATGAACTACCGATTCTTTTATATGAAATAAAATCTTTATTTCAGAGTCCTAGTTTATTAAATATGGGATAGGAGGAAAACTAAATGGGATGTTTTCCTTTCTTTTGTTGTTGTTTAAAGTAAGTTCTTCCACAACTCTGATGCAGGCACAGAGTTGATGGTCTAAGAATTCCCTAAGTACATTACCTTCTTCCAGTCATGTAGGCTGATGCCTAGCATAGGACAACAGCTATCAACTCTGCTCATGGTAATTGGACTTCAACACTGAGTGTGCTACTGTGGGCACCAGTTCCAGTGTCGGTGACAACTCACCCAGCCTTGCCAAAAGATGGGGTACAGGCAGGGCTTTGGCCTTGACATGGGCTTATTTGAAAACACAGATGAAGTTAGTTGAATTAATTTTCTGAAACCTTTCATGGAAAAGTTTCTGCACTTATGTTCCTTGATCTTTTCAACTTTGTATAATCTCTGATTTTAAGAAGTTGTCATGTCAAGTGTGAACTTCTGTTCTGTAACACTGGGGATTCAGGAGGAACTGTGGTTAAGTTGCTGCTCCAGTGTGTTAATTTGAGCCTAGACTGGGCTTATTTATTTATTTTCCCGCCATGTTCTTAAACAGGAAGATAAGATTTAGCTTTGGCTCCAATCCCATGAAAACATTTTTTTTCCTCATTCAAATGCATGCTAACTTTCACACAGTACTTACCAAAGAATCAATTTTCTCAGACCACAGAACAAGAGGTGGCCAAAGGCCAATGCTGAGCAAATACAGTAAGTCTAGAGACTACAGCATGGTGAGAGTCTGTTGCCACTGGTGCATCTTATAATTCACAGGGCCAGTTTTTGTTTTCAGTGACTCAAAGAAAAGGTGTAGCAGTTGTTGTAAGAAGTGAATGAAGTTGTAACAAGATTTTTGTTGTGTGTCATATAATCAATAGCTGTTAGACAAATTGCTTATACTCATCTCTTGTACCTGCTGCAGATGTATCTTTGGTATACTGGGTTTCAGCAGTTGCACACTCATAGGGCATGTTTATTCTTGAGTTACATATGCATTCAGTTTTATTTTGGCCTCAACTCAATACTAAGAATCTTTAGAGGTGTAGGTTTTTTCTCAGGCTAATAAGGGATCAAGAGGGAGGAATAGGTACTCCTTCTAGTATTGAGTTACAGGTATGCTTAACTGGATTTCCTTACCAAAAGAAACTCAGCTATTACAGAAAATTTCAAGGGAAACACTTTGTGGAGTGTTAGGCTAATATGAAAAGGACTAATAAAAATGTCAATTTTAATGAATCACAAAATACAGATAGTACCAAGCAACCTCTTCAACCACAGGGTTGACTAAGTGTAGACTTACACATTTCTGGCTAGGTAAAAATATCTTTGGGGTTCATCTTCTCTAGCTAAGGACTCTTACACAGGTCATTAACACTTAAACTGTTAAGAACATTAATCCAGCTGTTGTAGCATTCCTTTTTTGATAACTTGTTACTACTAGGTAGAGGGAATGTTTGAGAAATAAAATTAATACCAGACTTTGGAAATATGCATAGGCAAGGACATTATTTCACATCCAACTCCATTTTAAAAACAAAAATAATTTTAATTAAAACAATTTCTTGGCATTGTTCAAAACATTATAAGACTCTCTTTACAAAGGAAAACTTCTAATCTTGGTTTAAAAAAGGCAAACCAGTAAGCTACATTAGACACAAGACATATGATGGACAGCTCCACAGCCACATGAGCAATGTCTCTGCTTTCTTATTACACAGGTAGTTAGTTCCTTCAGCAAAAGCCTGAAGTCTTGTATTTGCTTTATGCATATTGGGTCTTGTTGTATTACTTGGCAGGAGCCTGTACTCCCTTGAGTGAGCTGGGTTCATTGGTCAGAACATATTCCAGCATCCGACATCAATTCCATTAATCATGAACAGGCATGAATAAGTGAGTGAGATAAACCAATAAAAAAATAACTGGTGAATAATGAACACTGTTGGGCTGTGTATTATACTCAGCAATACGAGATCTGAGATCCTTTAAATTCAGGATATATGAAATGCCATTTAGAAAAGCCTTACATCAAACAGGTAATACATGATTACTAATACTCTTAATGCGTCAACCCTGAAAGAATTTAGATGAGTTTCCACATGAAGCCATCTTTGTTATTTCCTTAGTTACTCACAGGTGACTTGCCAATTAAAATGAATTTGGATACTTTTCATAATTAGACAGCACAAAATTTAGTTCTAGATGCAGTTAAATAAAAATCACTTTCTTAGATGTCACAGTCCACAGTATCAAAGCTGCTCTGTGTAAGACAAACAGCTGTCCTGCTGAAAATGACCACATTGACACAGAGAGGATCACTAAAAGATACTGTTCTTTCCACCTTTGACTGGATGTTGTGTAGGTTTATATAGTTTACTCACACACCATTATCATTTTTAAGTATTTAGGATTTGAATATAGTGGGGGGAAAGTTGGCCTCAATGGTCATTTGTTCAAGTCTTAGAATTCAAATTGCATTTTAAAATTGTATACACATTACTTAAAAATGATTCTAAATCTTAAAACACAATAGCATAGGTTTAACCTACTTTTATTCCATTATATTTCAAATTCTTATGCATCAGGAAGTCACAGAAACACAACCTATTCACACTGCCATTTGCTTCTCAATACAATCTGAACCAGCAGACATGGTTTTTCTTTTATATTAAAGGCTGCTTTTTAATGAATAGGTATTTAGGCAGGTCACATACTTTATGAAACCATGTCTAGAATTTCCATTTCCATTCTTAATCCAAGAAGCAAAAACTTTTAAGTGTTATTAAAGGTACAACTGGAAGTTTTCACACTGGAAATCCAACTATCTAATGTTGTACAGAATGTACAAATGTACATATTGGAGAACTGCAAGATTTTAATCAAAGTCACTTCCAGTCTAAATAATCTCTTGGGAGAGCCAGTGGGAGTTGGCGTCCTCCTGTTCAAGTCAAGAGTCCCATCAAATTAACTTTTGTAAAGGCAGTTCTGATTATGTTGATCCAAGTAATGCAGTGCTGGCAAGTTGGTTAAAGGTAAGGTTTTGTTTTTATTTTCGCCAAATGCTGTCTCACTTGATTTAGGAGGGCTTGGGAATACCCAAGAATTATCTTCCAGAGAATTTCTGCCATAAGAGCTGTGCTCCTGAAAGTCTGTACCATCATTAGGAATCAGTCTCTCATTATCTGTCCATGACTGAAGAACTGCTTTCTCTGATAAAACCTTTATATCTCCTGGTAAAGGACATGGAGCATAACAAGCAGCCTTGCCATTTGGTGACAAAGGGGGATGTCTTTTGTATGTTGCAGTGAAATTTGTCAAGTGCAATTTCGTGCTGTCTCTCCCAAGGTCTTCAACACATCCTGCTGGGACGCAGGCTACAAAGGAAGCACAGGCTAAGTGTCAGTTTCCTAGCAGTTGTGGCTGTAAACATGTCATATACCAAATCTGTAACTGACAACTAACATGATCATTGCCAGTTTAGTATGTTCATCGGGAAACTGGTTTAGAGATACTGAATAGATCTGAGTTCTGACAGACCACATACTTACTGCCACTGACTTAAGGTCATTCACTCAGCTGCAAATGGATGTAGGAGTCCCTTCCTGCTGTGTCCTCCTGCTGATGCAGAGTCTATGTGACATAGAAAGTGTCATCTCTTTACAAGGCAAAGACCAGTAAAGCTCTTGGCCTTCAATGTGGCAAGTGAGGGTTTTAGACCATATCGATGCCAGTGGGGACTGAGAAAAGTAGTAGCAGATTTTAAATATATTCCTTTGCTTATTCAAACTTCTCTCTGGGAGAGGGGCCAAAAGTAACTTATTTTTATAAATATACTTTGAATTCTTAAGAGTCAAATGAAATTTTAACATATATTCAGTGGTTTTTATGGATAAAGCTTTACATTCAATTTCTTAGAATAAATACAATGGTTAATAGAATTCTACTTTAGTCAACAAGCAGGTCAACTTAAAAGGAAATAGGTCTTTCATGCATACAATGGCTTAGGAAAGACCGCTGTGAAATTAGTATTTCGCCACAGCCAGCGCAGGCACACCGCAGCATCTTCTACTCCTTTCATTCAGTCTGCCACAGCTGGAAGCTACGTTTTTTCTCAACTTAAGGATGATCAAGTGGACTAAAGGCTTGGCTCCATGCAACCTAATTATTTGTGTGTGTGTGTGTGTGTGTGTGTGTGTCTGTTTGTGAGCATGAGAATGGAGGTACACACACATGAACATGAAGGTCAGAGGACAACTTTCCGGAGTTGGTTCTTTGCTTCCACTCTGAGTTCCAGGTGAACACAGGTCCTCAAACTTGTAGGTGAGCCCTTCCACTTGCAGAGCCATCTTGTTGGGCCAACTCATGTAATTTTAGAAGAAACAAATTGAAACATTTGGGTGGGAGAGTAGGAAGGGTGAACAGAGAGAAAAAACTGAAAGTAATTAGTTCTTCTGGGCAACAGTGATGGGCAGGTCAGGAGTGAGCCATAACCCTTCTACTTAAAACCATGTCTTTAGGGACTCGTTACCACTGGTCACCTGGACTTAACACTGTCGAAGGAAATGTTCTAGAAACTGACAGTGCAAAGGCATCTCAGCCAATTAAGAAGGAAGACAGGATGGAAAGAGTTCTTTATTCTGCTGCTTTGGAACACACTAGTGATGTAAGTAGTTGTACTGACAGCTTGATCCACACTAACTGAGTCTCTCTAAGGGCAGTCTGACTTCTGCCATCCACCTATGGTATCTTCATAAGTAAGCTGAACTACTGGAGAACGAGGGAAGGTGAACCATAAATTAGGTTATGCTTGCCTAACACCACACTAATTCGTAAGTACCCAACACTGCAGAAATCAAAAGAAACTTTGAATTCCGCCCCCTCCCCACAAGGTGAAACATTTCCCTTACAAATACTTCTGAGAATATTTTTGAAAGAATTTTCTTGTTCTCCTTTAGGACAATCAGAAGTGCAAATAACAATTTTAAATTAGATGCTGATCACCTTTCAACGTCATCACATTCCTTTGAGAAGTAAACTCAAGGCATTAAATGTATACTGTATGTGTCAGACATAAACCTCTCCTGCAACAGGAGATGCAAACACTCAGAAAAACATCGCTGGCAAAAGTGTCCACTACTAAGTTAACAAAAGCTCAAAAGCTTTAGTCAAACATTGCATGTAAAAAGAAAGCAATGAAAAGTTTTTGTTGAGTCTGCCTTCAACCTGACATCCTGAATGGAAAAGAAAGTCTCTAAGAAGATGTCAGGAACTAAATGAATCAGAATTGTTTTGAAAATGAAGAGCTAGGTCTTTGGTATACTTCACAGTACTGAAATGAAATGAAACTTTGGTTTGGAGTTCTTTTTAAATATATAGTTGTGGTGAAGGGCCAACCAGAGCAAACCTAACACCTCGGCCTTACACACATGAGCAACACTTGGCTGAGAAAAGCCACAAGGGGAAAGAATATAGTACTGAAGAAAAAACACCAGCAACACCTTTATGTGTGAAGCTGACCAGCTAGAGACTGAAGCCACAGCAGGGAATGGGTGGAGTGGACACACTGCACACAGCCTGTGTATCACAATCATCGGATGAGATTTTGCTAAGATAAAGTAGCTAGCTGCTCCTCAGGCAGTGTGGCTGGAATCGGCATCTCCAGCCAGCAGGGACTTGCCTTTCTTGACTGCAGCTGAGGTCTTCAGTTTCCTGAGCAGTTCTGCTTGCACCTGCGTCACCAGGTGTAGGTTAGACATCTCCCTCTTCAGCTCCCAGTATGCGTGCTGCATGTTATCACTAAAATGGAATTTTAAAAACAAGTTATACTAGTCCTTCTTATGTGTAAAGGGGAATAGCTTTACAAACAAGCAGGTTTATATTTATATTGTTTTCTGACAATATAAATGAAACTAAATATATTTAATTGGAATGTTTTAAGTGAAAAATACCTAGGGATAATAGTGCCCCAATTTCAAGCAATCACTACTATAACAAGCAGATTATGATACACATTCTAACTAGTGAGTTTCTTACTGGCTTTTAGAACCAAGGGTTTATTTTAGCCAAAACTGCGCAGTACTGTTAGTAAAATTAGTAACTAGTAAGAAATATGTTCCTCCTTTGTCAATCTGATCAAGAATAAAATTGCATTTATTCATGTCTGGTCTCTGAGTCCATCTTTATCTTTGGATTGTTTTGACACTGTGAAATGAAGTAATGAGGAGATACCCGAGACCACATTATGGCAAAATTGAGGCTTCATGCATTACATTCTTTATGTCTGACTGGGCTGTCTCATACTGTTGGTTCTAAACCAATGTGACATGACAGCACAAGACATTAGGAGTCACATGACTTTCCCCATAACTAAGCAGCAGCTAGAGAAGCAGATTATAGGAAACAGAACTTCAAAATGCCTTTCCATAGTTTTATAATCAAAATGATTTTACCTCAGAATCTGAAGTTGTTTTATATCTAATTTTAAAAGCTTTTATTGTCCATTAAAATCTCTTAGGGTCATGATTTTCTTTAGGTTCTTAATTGCCAACTAAATGAACTGAAAGAAAATCATACTTCTGCATAGTCATACCTGAATTAGTCAATGCAAGAACTGACTCCATAATATTAGAAACAACCACTATTACAGGTTTGAGAATGTAAGTAGTATGGGTAGAAAATGAAGCAAACACACTACCTTATGCTTCATTGTTTTTCCTAATAAATGGAACTTAAACTTCAAAGAGATAACCCTGAAATCTGAATCTAGTATCTAATTAAAGAAGCAATAGGTATTTTAAAACAATTAAGTTAAATTGTGTGAGGTAAAATTTTACCTCTATTAACAGAGTATTTCTACCCTACTTGGACTGCAGTTTTTGTATTATAAACTATACTGCTTTGAAGAAAAATCCCGTATTTTAAATATCATTGTTTAACCTCTGGTGTATTTAACCAGCTCTCCGTCAGAACCAGTAAACACTGGAGATGCTTTTTACAACTGCTGTTGCATAATGAAGTCTGTCTTCAATGTGAAGAAGATTGCTGGTTCCATGTAAAATCCTGGGCACTGGATAGTTTCAAAGAGTCATTTCACAGTTAGGTCCTGTACTAAAACTCAGGCACACAGGCATGAGTAATATAGTTTGAAAATAGTTTATTGTTATAAAACGGTGAATTTGAACCTAACTTTAAAAATATTCATGATACTTGGGTACTCGTACACCAAGTACATGTCAAATAAAAGATGATTATAAAGGTATTAGTATCAATACCTAAAGTACATGTTAAAAATTCAATTTAATGATGATTATTTAAAAATGAGGGTAAGATGAAACTACATCACTAAAATTACCTTTTTGTCCTTTGCTCTTAGTGTCACCTACACTAAAACTACAGACTAAAAAGATACATTAAGACTGTGGGAGAAATACCTAAGAAATGGCTCAGAAGTTCAAGAGTGCTGGATGGAGGCTGCTTGTTGGTTCCTGGCCGCCCGACTAGCTTAGATCCGAAAATAATCACACAGAAACTGTACTAGTTCATTCACTGCTTGGCCCATTAACTCTAGCTTCTTATTGGCTAACTCTTCCATCTTAATTTAGCTCATTTCTATTAATCTGTATATCACCATGAGGTCGTGGCCTACCAGCAAAGTTTTAGCATGTCTATCTCCGGAGGCTCCATGGCGTCTCTCTGACTCCGACTTTCTTTCTCCCAGCATTCAGCCTAGCTTTCCCTGCTTATCTAAGTTCTGCCTTGCTATAGGTCCAAAGCAGTTTCTGTATTCATTAATGGTAATCACAGCACACAGCGGACTCCCACATCACAAGAGTGTTTACTGCTCTTGCAGAGGACTAGAATTCAGTTCCTTGCATCCAACTGCCTGTAACTCTAGTTCCAGGGACCCAATGCCTCCTCTGGCTTCTACAGGCCCCATGCACACCTACAGTCTCCATAAATATATGCAGGCTCACAAAACACATGTACATAAAAAGATACATTTTAAAACCCTAAGATGGTTTGGCCAAGTGACCTGAGTTCAACTTCTGGAAGTAAGGAAAGAGTGAAGCTGAGATTGACTGCACTGTTCTCTCCGACCCCCCCCCCCCCCGGGCGCTAGGGCACACGTCCACACCACCCCCAATATCTAAGATTGTTACTATTCACACACAGGCTCTGTGGCACACGTCCACACCGGCCCCCAATATCTAAGAGTGTTACTATTCACACACAGGCTCTGTGACACACATCCACACCGGCTACCAATATCTAAGATTGTTGCTATTTACAACTCTCAAAGCGTTATCTTTAAAGTGTGTGAAAATGACTGGTAATTCTATGTGTGTGAACAAACGCTGAAGCCATCATATAAGAAATATAAGGCGAATTACCTCTCAACTTCGAAGCCATCATATAAGAAATATAAGGCGAGTTACCTCTCAACTTCTTAGCAGCGTTCCAAGCAAGCCTGATGAGTGCTGGGTGTTTTATCTAAGTGTTTTTGAGCCTATGCATACCAATACCACTTTGCCCTACTTTCTTAAATGGGTGTATAATCCTAACTTGCTTTAAATGACATAAGAAAAATACATTTCGTGTATATAGTTGCTTCTAAAGAACTTATAGCAGTTTCTTGAGTACTAAAATGATAGTCACTATACTTGAGAGCCCTGAAAAATAACACATAGGAATAATGATGACTAAGTATTCATTATGTGCTAGGCACTTAACCACATTCTCATACCATCTTGGCAAAATGGCTGTGTGAGCTAGTGTTCTGTCAACTTGACACAGGCTAGAGTCATTGGAGAGGAGTGAGCCTCAACTGAAAAAAATGCCTCCACAGGGTCAGGATGAAGGCAAGCTTGTAGGGCATTTTCTTAATTAGTGATTGGCATGAGAAAGTCCAGTACATTTTGTGTGTGTGTGTGTGGGGGGCAGCCTTGGGCAGAAAGTCCTGGATTCTTTAAGAAAGCAGGCTAGGCAAGCCATGGGGCAAGCCAGTAAGCAGCGCCCCTTCATGGCCTCTGCATCAGCTCCTGTCTCCAGGATCCTGCCGTTTGCGTTTCTGTCCTGACTTCCCTGATGATGAACAGTGATGTGCAAGTGTAGGCCATGGTTTTTCATCACAGCCACAGTCATCCTGACTAGGGCAGTGGGAAATCTCATTTTGCCCATGAGCAGACAGATTCAGATGTCAACTCCATGAGACTGCTTTTTCAAAGCTGTCTTACTTATCCACTCTAAGTACTGATCACACTTAGTACTTTTAGGGGACAGTATTTTCTTACAGGCATTGTTATTATATTTACACCATGTACCTGTAAAGGGGTTGATGGCTCACACAAATAGGCTTATTCTAAGTACCCCTCTATCTGTCTGCATCTCAGGAGAGCATTCTATGTCCTGTTCAGAGAATACTGTAAAGTCCTGATCTCTTGACCAACACTATATAACAACCTTTTTGTAAATGAACACTGTTCATGACAAAAAAGGAGAAAACTCCTCATCTATGATTCCACTTTCAGACATATAGTTTTCTTTAGCATTTGAAAATTCACTCCATTACCTTAAAGAAGCGGTTTTCAACCTGGAAGTCCTGACCAGGACACCAGACATTTACATTACGATTCATTACAGTAGCAAAATTAGTTACGAAGTAGAAACAAAATAATATCATGGTTGGGGGTCACCACAACATGAGCAACTGTATTAAAGGGCTGCAGCATTAAGAAGGTTGAGAACCACTGTCTTAAAGGAACTAAAATGGTATTTGTTATAGAATTAAAAGATGTACACTTTGAAAATTGTAATTTCTCTAAAAAAAAGTCTTTCAAATATATTTGATAGGTACGGCATAGCAGATCAGGTAAAGCCCACTGGTAAGTAACTGTTAAATCATTTTTTATAAACACTTGATGACCAGAGATTACAGCCAGCACCCAGAGTGTTTGCTACTATGTTTAAAGTTCAACCACATCATGAAGGTAGAAAGCACACAGGAGACCTGTGGAGAAGGCCCTGGTGTGGAGTATGCTCTTCCCTTGACAAGCTTGGTCTGATGAGATCTCTGTCCTGCAGAATGTCTTCCTGAGATGGACCCTGTCATGTGTTTAATAAAGAAAAGAAAGGAATTATTTCAGCTTTCTCAGTTCTTCACCATCACAGATGTTTCAACATCCACAGAATACGTTTATAATTGTATAAAGTGTAAGACCAGGTTTCAGACTCAATTTTAATCAAACACCGCCACCCATCCCCAAAATGTCCAAATCACTTTCAGTTATTTGGAGCGTTTATGCTTTCATTTTCCTTTGAAATGTGTTCTCATGAATTTGGAATCCTATGAAATATACATTTGAACATATTGGAAGTGTAACCCATTATATTACTGTTTAAGGTATATTTGCATGAATTCTATGGAAAATGGGGAGGTTTTGGCATTATTTCTATACCCCTCCCAAAAAACGGACAAGTTACTGTTTTAACCACTGAGCCATCTCTCTAGCTCCAAATTTATTTACTTTTATGTGCACTGGTGTGTTGCTGCCTGCATGTATATCTGTGTGAGAGTGTCGGGTCCCCTGGAACTGGAGTTACAGAAAGTTGTGAGTCACCATGTGGATGCTGAAAATCGAGCCTGGGTCCTCTGGAAGAGCAGCCAGTGCTCTTAACCATAGTTACTGTTTTAAGACATACATTTCCTCATAAAATGAATGACCTGGCAAGAACTTTCCTGTGTATGTAAATATTTTGGTCTTTATTTTCAAAAACTCTATAAGAAACTGATTCCAATTTCAGAAAAAGCAATTTTATCTCTACAAAACCCCCAAACAAACCCCAAGAACTATGCCTGAACAGTGTTCACACTTGAGACACGCTACAGAGTTTTTTCTTATTTTCCATCAAATGCATATGGGCCCACTGGTTTTATTTTTCTTGCCATTGACAGAGGAGAGACTGTAGTGTTTTAAAAGCACCGCGTTACATTAGAATCATTCTCAGTAAATGTGGTCGAGGTTTCTAGCTGTCTCCTCAGCCCGTTTTCATCTTCTTCACTGTTAATGGCGTTTGATTTGGGGTTTGGCACTGTATCGCCAGCTCAAGACTGCACTTCCCAAACTCCCTTGCAGGTACGGCCTTGGCAAGAACTTCTTAAAGTCCCCACATCCTTTAAACTTTTATTTATTTATATTGTAGGTGCGACACGACAAAATGAAACCAGCAACCCCCAAAGCGCACACCTATAAAAGACACTTTTAAAGAATCGAATGCACTCGTGATCTTCTGTGCCACACTCTCTCTGTAACAGTCTCACAGGTATTAATTTGTTTATCAGGAGGAACTGCTGGTATAAGGATGAGAAAAATTTACTATTCAGTATTACTTATTTTTTAAAATTTATTTATTTATTAAAAATTTCCACTTCCTCCCCTCTTCCCATTTCCCTTTCACTCTCTTCCCTCCCCAGTCCTAAGAGAAGTCAGGGTGCCTTGCCCTGTGGGAAGTCCAACAGTATTACTTATATAATATAAATTATAGACCAGGCATGTGGCTCAGTCCCATAATCTAATACTTGGGAGATGAGGAGGACTGCCGTAAGTTTGGGGACAGCCTGGGCTACAGAGTGAGTTCTGGGCCAACTTGGGATACAGAGTAAAGGTCTGTCTCAAAAGTACCATCCCAATGCTACACTTTAGTGTAACAATGGAAAGCTATTAGGACTTCACATATACCCTACAGTGATGCACCACAGTATAGGAGTTCAAATAGTTTGGGGCCCTGGCTTTAGTGCAGTGACACAGTACAAGTGGAGCCTGTGGGAAAGGAGAAACAGAATCAGCAATGCATCAGAGAGGTCTGAGCACCAGCATTGGAGACATGCTTGGGGTTGTTCTTTACTGGTCTCCAAAGAAAATAAAATTATCCTCAGACCCCTTCAGTTTTTGTGTCATTAAATAGAAAATAGAAATATTTAAAATACACGTTTATTGGAAACCTTCTCTTGAAGGCCAACAATACAAAATAAATATTGTTAGGATAAGAAAATAGTTTTATACCTACTGTAACTGCAGAAAAGTTGAACCCAGACCAGCAAAATAAAAATCCTCAAAAGGATTGTCCTTAACACGCAAAAACTCCTTATGGAAGTGAGTAGGCTGCACTGTTCTGAAGAGCACACCTGGGAATTCCCTCAAGGTCCACATGCCCACATGCACTATAGCTTTCCTGGGACCTTCACTACACTGCCCAACACACTAGGACCCCACACTGGCTATTTACTTTAACTCAACGTTTTTATATCACTGTGGCTGAGTCTGAACTCATTCAGAGCAGTTGGTTCTGACCAACTGCTTTGAATGTAAATGGTCAGGGTAAGGTGCTGGAAAAGTCCAGCAGAGCCGCCTCTGAAATGTTGACCTTCCTAAGAGCAAACACTAGTAGCCAAGTTCGCTTACAGTCAAGAATAAAGAGCTACTAGTATGACCACAAAGGCTGCTGCTACACACTCAGAAGGTATCCTAAATTATGTGTCACATAAAATGACGTTTTAGCATTTTAAAATTATGGGCAGAGTAGACAAAGACAAGTTATTAATGTGAACATTACTTTCTTTGGCTCATTCTTAGATTTCTATATCCAAGAGGATTCTACTCAGATTTAAAGTACATAAAACATCATAGTTTTAACTTGGAAACTTGGAAAAAAGCCACCAGCTCGTTAGTTTGTGTCTTAGCATCAGGTGTGGGTATTTTTCATGGTACAACCTCCTGCTGTCAAGAATGCATGACTAGAAAAGCAGGACAGCGTTCAGGTTCCCTTGCCCTTTTAACACTCCTCCCTACCTCACATCAAACTCTTAAAGGTTTCTCACCTCTCAGAATTCATGTCATCATCAGTTTAAACTGATAGAACTTTCAAAAGTTTCTTGTACTTCTAATAACCTGTTTCTATGAACTGCTAGCATATGATAGATATAAACTAAAAGCTTATTTATTCCCTAGCACCACCTAGTGGAACAGAATAAGTAAGAAGAACCACACTCCACTTCCACAGACACTGTCTTTCTGAATTACTCTAAACAAATTTTTTTGTTTTAATGTATATACTGAATATACTGTCCATGTACTATGCTAACTTCTTTATACAATCCCTAACTTAACATTTATGAATAGTTATTTAATGCCCATAGAAAATAAATTTCTTGAGAGTAAATGACATTCCTAATTTCCATATTCAATAAAAACCACCACAGTAAGCCAGATTCCCATGATTGTATGGTACTGTTTCTCATTCTACAGTGAAAACTCTATGTATAAAATATAAACATACTTTATTTATAGAAGCTATCAAATTATTTCCTTTCAAAAAGAAGAGTACACACTGACAATGATTCCGAGTTTCTAAGTGCCAATCCTCTAGCAAGCAAGTAAGCAAGCAAGCAGCAGTTTTAAAGGGACTCATTAGTGGCTGCGGTCACTGAGCTTATGGAACAAAATGCTCAAGTCTGAAGAAATGGTGATGTCTAGCCAGCCACAAGTTTAAAGGTAGGGCAGTAATGTTTAGTGCAGTCAAGTAACAGAGGTTGAAACCATTTGGGCTCTAAGCCAAGCAGACACCAATTTTTGTGGTGGTTTCTTTTACCAGGTCCAGGGTTTCCAATATGGCTTCTCACTGTCCAGTACAGATGAAATTAGTCAGGTGAAAGCAGAAAGCTACCGTGTTCCGACATGCAGCTCATTCTCAGCAGCCACTGGCAAATCAAGACTACATTCTAGAAGAGAGAAGTGTGAGCAGACCCGCCACATTTGGGTATGGGTACACAAGTCTGGCTGAGTCAGAGAATGGCAAGTTCTCCACTTTTAGATGGTGACCTCCAGGGGAATGTGGACAGAGAGTCCTTAGCAGTATGTAAGGCTTTGGTGGGCAAATAGTTGAGCTGAGGATTAAAATACACAAATGTAAAATATCTTGGTGCCATTTTTTTCATATTCCCCAGCTTCCTCTGAAAACTCAGCTGTTTGTGAATCCAGGGTAGATCATGGTAAACAGACTCCTAGGGAGAAACTGAGAGGCAGTCTGCGTGAACAGGTGACTTTAGGCTAAGCATGCTAGGGTAGAGGCAGTCTGCGTGAACGGGTGACTTTAGGCTAATCAAGCTATGGCAGCAGGTTTGACAGATGTTTTTCTTGTTCATTTTCCTAATTCTTGAATTCTCACATGTTTTAAGTCTTCTGAAAAGAAACAGGCTATGTAAGGCTTCCTTTGTTAGTGGTAAGCTTGTTCCCCCCCCCCCCCAAGAATTCTATAATGATGTCTCTTTTGTCTAAATTAACCAAACTGTTAGGTTAAATAAAATGGAAAAAGTTAAAACTAAGTTATCTTTAAAATTTTCAGACACATTCAAAATGAAAGGAACCCTATGGAAAGGAAGTTTGGGAAAAATTAAAATAACCTGTGGTCGTTTGAATGAGAATTGTCCTCCTGTGCTATGTTTAAATGCTTGGTCTGCTGTTGGTACAACCGTTTAGGAAGGGTTGGGAGGAGGTGAGAGTGACACCGGAGGGTAGGGCGGGAGGTGGAATCTGAGGTATAACAAGCCCATGGGATTCCAGATAGCTCTCTTTCTCTGTCTTGCGCCTGTGAATCAGATGTAAGCTCTTCGTTATTGCTCCAGTACCCTGCATGCCTGCTGCTATGTTCCCGGACATGACGATCATGGAGTTAAACCCTCTGGAACTTTGACCCCAAACTAAATGCTTCTTTTAGAAATTGCTTTGGTAATGGTGTTTTGTCACAACAATAGAAAAGTAAGTAAGAAATAGTTCAATATACATTTTAAATCAAGTCTTAAAACTATATCCTAAGGTGAGAATGAATATATAGGATATATGAAATACTAGCAACAATGAACATTCTATGACTATAATTAATTATAGATCTATGACTTAGTACTTAGTTACAACCTATATATGATGCACAAAGTACACAAAGTTCCCAATGTAACAGTGCTTAAGTACCGTCTGTTTGGCTTTCTGCAGCTCTACTTTGAGATCGTTGCATTCCTTCCTCATGAGCTCCAGCTCTTGTTCCAAACCATGGATCTTTAAGTCACAGCTTAACTTTTCTACCTCCCAGTTAGATGAGGGTGGATTTAAATTCCTCATCACTAGAAAAAGGATAGACAACAAAATAGTTATCTTTGCTTTTTATACCCAATACAGTTCCTAGGTGACAATGGTAAAATATCAGTAAGTAACCAGCACAAACAAGCATAAATACTAAGGCTCAGCATCATGAACTCCATCAAAGTTTACAATTTGACTGACAGAATGCATGTCAAAACAATTTCACTCCTAAACACCTGACTATGGAACTTAACACAGCTGAATCCTACAGTATCTGATAATGGACCCAACAGTATCTGACTATGGAACTAAACACAGCTGAACCATATATAACCTGACTATGGAACTTAACACAGCTGGACTCTACAGTACCTGACTATGGAAACTTAACACAGCTGGACCCTACAGTACCTGACTTAGTCCTTCATTTCTCCATCTCCAAAATGTCCCGCCTATCTACCTGGGAAGATCTCACATTGAATTTTTTACTAAAAGATCTGTCAATAGGCGTTTCTTTTGCTTATCTCATGAGACTGTTGATGGGAACAAGGCTCTTATCTATAATTCCCAGACAAACTTTCCTTTTCAGCATCTCATCTATACATTCCATCAACTTTCAGGAAGAAAAAGATTTAAGAGACAATCAGGCTACTCCATGACAACGTGTTTAACTGTGGGCAGTAAGTTCAGTAAGAAGGGCCAAGTCAAGAGAACTCAGTGGATGAGAGTTTTGGAAAGGATGGGGTTGTCTTTGCTCCTCTACTTCATCACACACTACCCTTGAATAAATACATCACATCTTCTGTAGGGAAAGTACAATTTTCAGTTAAAGAAAAGTAAGTAAGATATTGTGTGAAAAAAGAACAGAAAAAAATTAGCCTTTATCATACAGATATAGGAAACTGATGATGAATATAACACACAATGGAAAGATCAATTAATTCTATTAGAATATTCATAACAAGTAAGTGGCATACCCTGCTGAGTTTCCACCTCTGTTCTTAGCTGCAGAAGCTCTACTTCTTTAGACTGTAGCTGTTCATTCAATACTTTCAAAGATTCAGTGTTGTCTTTATTCTAGTTAAGTAGGGAAAATGCCAAATTACAGTCAATAAAATGTCTAGGTTTGTCTTATATCTTACTTTTTAGGTCAACATTGAATAAGTCTCATTCTATCTTTTAAAAGCAAGATGGGGAAAATGAACCCTGATTCTCACTAATCTTTTTGTTTCTTAGGACATCATTGCTCACTGGATTAAAAACAAAACAAAATAAAACGTCCACAATGAGTAATCCGACCTTGTTATACTTTTTTTAAAGTCAGTCAGTGGTGCTAAGAGATTTTTAAGTCCTTAACATCATTAAATACTAAACATTTATTTTTGTATATTATTGGAAAATATAGTTTTCCATATGCCATGAACATGTTTATTTTAATTAATAAATGTAAATGTTTAACCCTTTATTCTAAACTTCTTGCAAGACAAAATAATTAAAATATAAAGTATTTTCAAATCAACTTACTATTTTCTCCAATTTGTTCTTCAAGCTGTCTCTCTCAATGCAAACCTCTCGATACGCATGATAGGCCTTATTCACTTGTTCTCGTCCCACAGAACTTGTTTCTTCATCTACTCGAGCTCCAACAAGCTGATAGCATGACATTAGGGGAAGAAACCTTTAGTGAGTATTCTGCAGAACCACGTAAGTCCATCTCGTGGTGGCTCTACATCGTACTCTAACAACGGCAAGGTAAGGATAAAGCCTACCTTTGCCTATATTTAAGTGACTATTGACTCGCACACAATCTCACTAACAAGATAAATATAATAGAAAAAAAAACTCAAAAAAGAAACCCAAACACATGTTTGTTGCTCATCAGTAATCTGTACTTTGTACTATCTGCTTTATAATAAACGTAATCATCACACTATAATACAGTATATTGTCTTGGAAGTGTCCAGGTATTTTCCAAATCTACAGCATCTAATTTCTATCTATCAAATCAGACTCTACTTCTTAAGGAATACACATGCCACTTCATTAAATCTTACATTATTCCAGCAATTGAAATTAATAGGATTGATGGTCACAAAGTACAGATTTTGTATGTTAACTATGCACTAAATTCCACAATTTTATTGAAGTTTAAAAGCATAACTATTATGCCAATATATGACAAGCAGATTTAATTACTAAGTTAAAATGAATGAGAAGAAATTATGGTAATACTAAGGAATGACTTCCTTGCTTTGCCATCCCACCAAGCAATTAAAGTTCTACCAACACCCACCCTCAAGTTTTTAAACACGGGGAAATTTCTTAAGAACTCATTTCTAGGACTGGAGAGATGGCTTGGCAGTTCATAGCTGTCTGTGACTCCAGTCCAGGGAATCTGACATTCTCATACAGAGACTCATGCAGTTAAAACCCCAATGTACATTAAATAAATAAATTAATCTTTAAAAGAAAACAAATTCATTTCTTCTACCATTTGAAGCTCTTGTTTTTGTAATACAATAATACAAACCTGATTTGAAGAAATAAACTAATTAGAACCTTAAAATGAAATAAATAAATGTGCAACCAAGAAAAAGTTTGACATATAAAATCAAGTTGAGTCTAATGATTTAAACTGCATTTCAGCTACCTCATATAATATTCAGAAATGTAACCCTCAGTTACACATCACTGTCAGCTCCAAGGGTTACTTTACTTTCCCAGGAAAGCAAAGAGAATGCAGAAGTGAAGGGTCCGTTCAGTCCCGCTGAAGAGCTTGCCAACCACAGTGAAGCAAAGTCATTTACTAGGACCTTACTCTTCTGTACAGACTCGGAAATGCTGTTACAAGGCTAGGTGACAGCTCAGTTGGTAAACTGCTTGTTGCACAAGCGTGCAGACCAGAGATCAATCCTCAGGTTAAAACCCTGGTGTTGTGTGTACTTGTAGGGAGACAGCAACTGGAAGAATCCGAGGCTCCCTAGCCAGGCAGCCTAGTCTAGTTAGTCACCACTATGACCTAGTGTGAGATCCTGTCTCAATATAGAAGGTGAACAGCTCCTGAGGAACAGCACCTGAGGCTTATTTCTGGTTTTCAAATATATGCAGGTACACATGTGTGTGCAACACACACACACACACACACACACACACACACATGGAAAAAACTGGCAACAATATATAGCAATGACAGTAGGCACTATGAAAACAAGGAAAAGAAAATGCTGGAACAGAAAATTTTTAAGTTTTTAAATCCTGTCCTATGAGATCACCAAGCACATGGTACAGATGATGCAACATAGTTTAGTGGTGAACAATTTGGAAATTCTTACTTAGTCTTAGAAGACAGATTAGAAAATATTTTAAATATCAAATATTTGGAATTATTCTTTATGTCAAATACAATCAAAAGAAGAAAATGACCTTTTCTTCCAAAGCCCTTATTCTTTTCTTTAAGAAAGAGTTTTCTTTCTCTGAATCTTTAAGTCTCTTCTTGATGTCTTCATATGCAGTGACAAGAGCAAAATGTGAAGCAACAGACTCATCTCCTGAATACCCCGAAAGTGGAGTCACCGTCTCTCTTCTGTGGGCTTTCTCATGATTCAGAATGCAGATGTCATCTTCTACTAGTGTGTCCATGGCAGCTCTGGAGACAAGAGAGCAGGGAAGACAAGACAGATTTACAACGTGAACACCAAGAACAACCTTAAAGCTAACCCTTTCAGAGGGAGCACAGGGTAACTGCTATAAGCAAAGCTGCCCAGGCCGTAGCCCAAGGCTCAGGGGCTGGGTGACTTAGCAGTGTGTAAGCTGTTAAGGCTCAGGAAATATTAATAACCACTTTTATAGTATAAAGGATGAAAATGATTGAAGATAAAGAACTTAGATCCAGTACTGTAATCCATTACTATTAAGTTCTATAAAAGTGTGAAATTACACTGGATTAGGGTTCAGCAGTAGAACATTTGCCGAGCATGTATCAGGTTCCAAGTTGGATCCCTAGCTAAATAAAACAGGACTGTAACATACTATTTTACCTAAAAGAATATTTTATAAAGTTACATATATTATAATAGATATTATATATAAAACATATAACTGTATATAGCAAATCTATCTACCTACCTACCTATCTAATAAGTGCCATGATGCAGTCTAATTTTAGAGGAGGTAAAAACAGTACCTGCACTATTCATCTGACTTAAATAACAAACCTACCCTAATTGGATAGAATTTATTGAATTTGTGTATCTTCTAAAATCAGCTAAAACCAAACACTAATAAACTGCTGTACGAAGGCAAGAAATACTTTTAAAGACCTGAGCTTTTTATACTTTTGTTTTAAACAAAGCTCCAAATAATTTAATTGTAATATCTATATTCATTTTTAGTATTAATCATTTTCTAAGCAGAAATACAAAATAAAACCCACATAACCCAGAGTGGTTTTGTACAAAAAAATGATTAGAATGTATAGGTAAGTAATATATCTGAAACTTCTGGCCCCAGAGGGATGGGGGATGGTTTTCAAAGATGGTACCAAAATGACATTAGTTGACCCTTATAAGTGAAGGAGGCATTTTGACTAAATTTAATCCCACTTAACCTTTTGACAGTCTTCTAACTTCTAGTAGGTGCACAACTTTAAAGACATGATAGCGTGAGGAGCAGAAGCTGAAAGGGGAGTGACAGGAGGTAGGAGACAGAACCAGAGAGTAAGTGAGGTTTTCTTTTATGATGAAGAGGCTATCAATTTTGGCCCTTATTCTACAAAATGTTTTCAAAGACAGCCTAGACACAACACTTAGACTTGTTAAGAATATTCACAACTCTTATGGTCTGGTCCCCACAGTGGTAGTGATGGTGTTGTGGACCTTCCAGAGGTGTGGCATTAGGGAAGATCCTTAGGTCATTAGAGGCATGTCCTCAAAGGAGACTCTTGTACCTTAGTCCAGTCCTCTACCTCTCTTTTCCTACTTTGATGGGAGTTATTTCTCAGTGCCCTGCCACGATGGGCCACTTACCTCCCACAGAGGCCCAAAGTCAAGGCACCAATCTTAATAACTAAACTTGTAAAATTGGGACTCAAAAAGTTATCTTTTACTTCATAAGTAGCCCATTTACTCGTATTTCACATCAGAACACAAGGCTGAGTCATATAACCACCAATCAACTACTTGGCACTATGCTGCTCAGAAGCATCCACTTTAATTCTCAAGGCTCCCTACAGTAAGAGGTAGGAAGTCTTATTGCAGAAAAGAAAACTGACCAGGTGGGTCAGATTAGTGTTCAGCAGATGCTGTCTGGTTTTACAGCCGAGTTACTAATATTTTCCTCTCTACAATCAACCTGAGCCAGAATGTCTACTACCAGTTCAAGGCTGCCTGGACTAGCTACAGTATGGAACCCTGGGATAGTGTATCTACAAAACCAACCAGCTGGCCTACAAGTTTGATGCTTCTGAGTAAATGGCACTGAAGTTAAATACATCAAGCTAATGCTAATATGCAACATTTTAAGAAACTTGCTTGTACCTATTCTTATTTACCATAATTGAAAATATTTACATTCCAATAATCTTTAACAACTTAGTGTCAAGAATAGACAAACACAGTCACTGGACTGCTGCTGAAGTTCAGCGGAGGAGCATCTCTCTAGCATAGAGAAGTCTGGGATTCTGTGTTAAGTCCTGCAAGGTGACAACAGTTGCTATGAGACCGTGCATCTATTAGGCAGCAGGTCACAGCACTCCTCTCCTTCCTTCCACTCTTAACATGCTTTCAACCTTCTCTACCAGGATGATCTCCGTACCGCTGGTGCCAAGATTATTACAGATGTCTCACGCAGGGCTGGGCATTCAGTCTCTAATTCTCATCACTTTGACCCAGCATGCATCTCGCCAGTGACTGGTGACCACTGCAAAAGGAAGCGTCTCTGACCAAGTCTGAGAGCAGCCTGGATTTGCCCGTGGCTGCAGCAGGGCTGACTGAGGGAGTTTGAGTTGAGCGGTTTGGGCCTGGGGAGGATTGAGAAGCCCTTACCTGCCTGCACTGAGGTTAGGGTTAGGTAGGGGTGGGAGTTGGACCTCGTGCTCAAACCAAATACAGGTTCTTCATAAAACACTCTGAATGTTGTGACTGTAATTTTTCCCAATAAAAATCCAGACAAGCTCTATGATGCAATGGCTTAAGATTAAGAAGCTCAAGTTCTAGACTATGATCTGTCACCCCTAATTACATACTGGTTCACTTCAGTTTTCTGGATCTCAACTTTCATAGCTATACATAACAGTCTTGGATTGTATCATTAAAATACCACCTCCTAATCCAAATACAGAATGGGAACCTGAACAGATAAAAAGAAACTCACAGTTGTTCCAGAAACTGGCTGTTAAGTTAGATATATTTACACTAAACTTGGTTAAAAAAAAAAAAAAGCTACCAACACCAGAGTCAAGGAAATCGACTTAAAGAGGTCAGTAAATGTCTTTATAATCATACCTGTGGCATGTGAAGGAGCTGGGGTTTGAATTAAGACCTACTGTGCATTACTTTCTAAAGTGAATACTGTTTAGAATTTCCATTGGTGGGCTGGAAAGATGGCTCGGAGGTTGAGAGCACTGACTGCTCTTCCAGAAGTCCTGAGTTCAAGTCCCAGCAACCACATGGTGGCTCACAGCCATCTATGAGATCTGGTGCCCTCTTCTGGCCTGCAGGTATACATGCAGGCAGAACACTATACTTAATAAATAAAATCTTAAAAAAAAAATAAAAAAGAATTTCCATTGGCTTCCTATCTCTGAAAAGTTAGGATATTTGAGAACCCACTTCATCTAGATCAGTTAAACAGTGGGCAAAAAAGATTAAGTCTTATGGAGGAGAACCAGGAAATAACAAGCGACTCTTTTTCTCACTTTAAATAATTAGGGGCAGGAATGACTTCTGTTCCTTTAAAAGGGATTATCAAGTGCCCTTTTTAGAAAAGATGCCAGCACTTGATCTATGTACCTTTAAACCATATGCCCTGTAATTCATTAAGTCATCAAAAGTTTAAGCACTATCAGATAGGCAATATGAGAAATTCCATTTTCATGATGATCCTGACTCACAGCCTGCAGTAGTCCAGAGTCCAGCTGCTATGGTTAAGGCATTCAAGACTCAAGTACGGCAATGTCAGAAGAGCAGCCTTCCCCTCACCCCTCTCTACAGCAGTGCATCTCAATGCAACCAACACCTCCATGAGATACTGTGAATAACTATTTTCTAACAATGAGACAACTTCAATTCAGGGAAGTGCCATTAAAGTTAGGTTGGTCTCATTCAGAAGTTTATTATTATTATTATTGCACCACTTCACTCAGTGGGCACGACAATGACCTGCGCCAACGTTAACGAAGCACTTCTGGTTTAGGCAGTTTTACACTGTGCTTAACGTATTTTTAAAGAGAGGTCTCACTGTGTAAGAGACCGGCCTGGAACTCGGAAATCAACATGCCTATTTCCCAAGTGCCATGATTATTTAGGGTGAGTGCCACCATACTCAATGTGTGCTTCACCTTTTAATGAACTAGATAGTTCTTAAGAATTTTTTAAATCAATGTAAAAACACTAAGATGGGTAAGCATATCTCAAGTTGCAGGTGAAGTAATTACACATGCAAACAGGTTGCCAACTTCAGAGCCAGTACAGCTCTTAGAAACTGTTATCTGGAAAGTGAGCAGTGTACTTCATTCAGAAAAGGGGAAAGCAAGCAGGAGTAAGAGGCTTAACCTCTAACTCGTGTTAAGTGAACAGATGGAAAATTCAATGCTTACATCCCAGGGCTTTTTATCTAATCCACTGCCGTTTCCCATGACAGCATGCTGGCTCTTAGATATTAAACGCTCACATTTGCATGAAAACGAGCATTTACGAACCTTAGGGCATTCAGTATTTTGTAGTCATCCAGAAAATAATCCCAACTATTCCCAGTTTAAGAAGATGGAGTGGTCACCGCGGACTGGGTCACGACAACATTTTTGGAGAACTAGAAATGAAACTGCTTTAAGATTTTGGTCACTCCAACTAAAAATTCAAACGGGGGCGGGGCGGGGGATGTCTTAAAGAGCAGAGGTCAATTTCAACCCAAGTGATCAATGTTTTGATTATCATATTATTTTGTTCTGAGCAATTTATGTTCTGATTTTTAGTAGCTTCCATGGGTAGTCTATCTCGCCTCTAAGAACTGAGTTCCCTGTGAGGAGGAGCGGAGTGCTAGCCTACCTTGCAATACAGCCGAAAAAAGACTGACGGTCACTGCCCAGACGCCATTGACAGTACCCGTGTCCCTTTCCCTTTCCGACATAAATGCCACCACAGTGCAGGAAATAAAACTGAAAGCATTCCCAGTCAATCAAAGTACGGAGAGAGATTGAGCAATCCACGAGCCGTGGAGGCTTGGGAAGAGCCTGTGGCAGCCGGGCGGTGGGGATGGCAGGGGTTAGGGATGCTACGGCGGGCCGCTCCGTACCGCAGAGGGGCGCCGGGGACAGAAGACGACGTGTGTGTAGCCAGGCGAGAGCCACCAGGCCGGTCCTGACCGTCTGCACCCTCCTGGCGAGCGCGAGCGATCCACTCACCCTGAACCCCGGCTACGTAGGGCCGCCCCCAAGGCCACCGGGTTTCGCTTCCCCAGTATTTGGAAACCGACTGAAAACAAACCGGGTCGCCAGGGGTCACCACGGGCTTCCGGTTTCCTCGAAGTCACCGCCGCTCCTCCCGTCAAGGTGGCCGCCGCAGGTGCACCGAAGGAGTCCCATGTCTTCGGCCGCGACTCCCGCGGGCCTGTCGTCGGGAGCCCTGGAGGTCACGGGCAAGCCGAGCAGCAGGGGCCCGGGGCCGCCCGAGCAGGCCCGTTACCCAGCAGCACGCGCGCCAGCTCGGAGGCCGCCGGTGCCCGCTGACGAGAGGTTTCTAGAAGGGGCCACGAACGTCCCGCAGCCCACAAAGGTGTCGCCGCTGCACACACCCTGTGAACCAGCGCAGGGCGACGAAACCGGAAGCGGGACCTGACGGATCTCCGGGCACCGCGGAGCGGCGCTCTGGCCGGGAAGGACGGGGCGTACTACATGTCCCATGAGCTTCTGCGGCGGGCGGGGCGTACCACGAGTCCCGTGAGCCTCCGCGGCGGGGCGCACTACGAGTCCCAGTGGTCTCCGCGGCGGGAGCGGGGTGAGGCGTCGCTGTGGGCCGCGGGGAGGCGGAGTGGAGCTGGGAAAGTCGCAGGCCGGCTGCTGCGGGGTTGAGGCCCGTGTTCAGGGCGCCCTCTAGCGCGTCCTTTCCATTCGGCGGCCACGCCGGTTCCGGAAGGTGGGTGGCAGCGGCTCGGCTTGACGCCACCGGACTTGGTGGGTGCTAGCCCGTCAGCTGACGTGCGTCCGCGGTCCCTGGAACCACACAGGCCCCGTGTTGCGGGTCGCGTGGCGATCTCCCTAGGTGTCCTGTGAAGGGAGGTCGCTGTGTGTTTCCCACGGCCCCTCACTGGCTCAGTTGGGGTTCCGGGATCCTCTTCAGTGTAGTAGAAGAGGGGACCAACCATGGCCAACTTTGGCTTGTTCTGGCTTCCTTAGAGTCCCCCCCCCCCCCCCGGTTATTTCTAGGTAACAACCCCTCCTTTTTTTGAGGCAGGGTCTTATGCATCCCAGGGTGACTACAAACACACGTTTTCCAACACCAGGTGAAGAATGAGTGAGCATCTATTCTCGCTGTATATAGCTGACTAAATCGTTTCTTTTTTCTCGTTTTCTTGTCTTTCTTTTCTTCGTTCGTTTTTTCTTTCTTTCTTCTTTTCTTTTTCCCCTTTTTTTATTTTTCCCTTTTTTTCTTTCTCCTCCTCGCCGTCCTTCCCTCCCTTTTCCCTCCCTCCCTTTCGGACCTGGAGGGCTTCAAGTAGCCCAGACTGGCCTTAGGCTCTTGAATTTCTAGTCCTGTTCTTCCACCTCCCAGGTGCTGGGTTCAAACACATTACCAAACTCTATGCAGCTCTAGAGATTGAACCCAAGGCCTTGTGCATGCTGGGTAAGCATTCTACCTCGCTGCCTCTCTTGAAGACAATGGATTGTGTGTTTAGGCATAGATGAGTTCATTACAATCTTAGGGAGTCTCAGACAGAAGAAGCCCACAGGCTCTAGATTATTTCTGATTAACTGTGAGAGTCAGTTATAGAAAGTTAATGTCCATTTATTGCCGACTAGAAAAGCTCATGTTTCTTGGTACATTCTTAAATACTGATTTGTCAACTGAAACCCTAAATGTTGTCAGTGTTCTGTAGAAAGGTCTCTCAGGATATAATCCTGTCTCTGGGTAGGTACCATTTTCACTGGAGTAGATCTGCATTTGAGCAAACAAAATATATGGACCCTGGCATAACTCGTGACTGTGACACAGCTCTCTTTGGGGCAGATACTTATTTTTATCATTATTACAAGTCTATTTTGATTAATTAGCTTGTTTGAGCAATGAAAAAACTTTTTAAAAGTGTTATTGTTTTTAATGTGTGTGGTGCTTTGCCTGCTTATTTGTATATGTTTATGCAATACGCATGGAGGCCAGAAGAGGATACTGTATCACTGCTATCAGGAGTTTGTATAAGTTGTGATCCTCCCTGTAGGTGCTGAGAATTGAGCCTAGGTCCTTGGGAAGAGCAGGCAGTGCTCTTCCTTGTAGAGCCTTCTATCTAGTGCCAACCTTTTTGTTTTTATTTTTTTTTTAGAGTGCTGCATCTCTGAAAAATACTTTAGTATGAATCGTGTTTTTAGAGAAATAAAATTCTCAGTAAGTTTCTATATGTAAATTATATACTGAAATTTCATCATTCCACCCCCTGGACCATATTTTCTGTGGTCTGTTCTATATTCTGAATACTGTATTCCTTGTAGACCTTGTTGGATGTGATTCTTAATGTCAGCTGAATAGAGTTAAGGTGTCAAAATTGCCATGTTGTAATAGCTGAGTCTTCCTGATAGTACCATCTTCAATGTCATGCTATCAGTGCATTTTTAAAAACATTCTCTCTATATGTCTTATGTACAGGCAAAGTCTTCTAGGGAGGGAATAGTTTTAATAAAAATATTAAGTATTAAAACAGTTTAAGAAATACTAGCAAAATCAGAAAACTTGGTATATAAGAAAACTTGATGTATAAGTTACTTTTTTCATTGCTGTAGCAAAAAAAAAATCCTTGGCAAAAAGTGATTTAAGGAAGGACAAGTTTATTTTGACTGACAGCTTAAGGGTGCAGTGCATCACAGTGGGGAGGCATGGAGACAGGTGATTGATCACTTTGTGGCTGCAGTCAGGAAACACAGAGGGAGGAGTGCCAGTATTTGCTGCCTTCACCATTTTTATTCAGTCTGGTGCCCTGGCACATTGAATGGTGCTGCTGCACACATTAGGCTAGCTCTTCCTTCCTGTGTGGCCCAGTCTAGACACCCTCACATTAGTCTATCTCTTCCTTCCTGTGTAGCCCAGTCTAGACTGCTTCACATTAGGATAGGGCTTCCTTCCTGTGTAGCCCAGACAGCCTCACAGACACATCCAGAGGTTGTTTTCCATTGTGATGTTAAATTCCATTGAGTCGACAATCAAGATTAACCAATACATCCCTTGCCAACCTGACAAATATGTCAATTTAAGTCATAACATTCCATCCATGTCCCCTAGTGTTTCATTTTCATCTCATAATGAAAAAATACACTTATTTTACCTTTGAATGTCTCTATCATCTTTTACAGTTCTGACATTGTTCAAAAGTGTAAGGGCAGAGTCTCTTCTGGGACCAAATCATCTAACTGTAACATTTACCCCCTTTTACATGAAACAAATCAAATCAAAACAAACAAATAAAAACTAAAACACATTACATCTAACATACAATAAATAATTCTACAGAACAAATAGTTCTATCCTGAAATGGAAGGATGGGCATATAATAAGGAAAAGTCATACCAAAGTAAGATCAAAACCCCTCATGGTAAACACCAAACCCTTTAGCTTTATGTCCTACCTCTGTGTCTGGTGACGGACTCATCTGTGTTCCAAAAGGACTTTTGTATTCCTGACCAGCTCTTCTGCCTGTAGCAACATAGCCTATCTCTTGGGCCTCCTCTACTTTGTGCCTGCAGCTTTCCTCAGCAGACAACCAACCTTCCTGACAATTATACAACCATGCGTCTCCGTTCTAATTTATAGGCTTTATCTTCACAGCTTCATGCTGTGGCCAGTGGCTCTCTGAAATGTCCCCCTCAACCTTGCATCTTTTGTGCCTGCCAAACCAGTACCATATGGACAGCACTGCCAAGTTTTGCTACCAACTGAATCTGACCCCCTTGAACCACAGTTACAACAGCTTATCTGCATTGCTGTGACAAAATGCCTGAAAAATCATCTTAAGAGAAAGTTTACTTCAGACTTTAGCTTATAGTGTGAGGGAATCATGTCAAGAAAGTCATGAGGCGCTGTTAGATTTATTTCATCCACAACTGGAAGCAGAGAGATAAAACCTGGTACCTAGCTCTCTTTTTAAAATTTTTCAGTCAAGGACTCTCAACTAAGGGATGATACCAAATGTGGTTGGTCTTTCCTCCTCAGTTAACCCAGTTTGAAAACTCCCTGGCCAGATACCTGTTTTATGTGACTCTAGATCCCATCAAACTGGCATGAAGGTTAAGTATCGCAAGGCTTCTAGGCCAGTCTAGGGCTACACAGTGAACTCCAGCCCACATAACTCAAAACAACACAAAATGAAAAACTAAAAATAGAACTAGCACATGATCAAGTAATCCTGCTGCAGGGTATTTCCCTCCAAAAGACTGAAAATGGGATCTGGAATGGGTATGTTCGTTTCATTGGTGTTCTTAATGCTAAGATGTGGATTAAGATCTTTAAGACAGCTTAAAGGTCTGCCAGTGGTAACTGGACAATGGAAATGCGGTATAATAAGACAGTGGCATATTGTCTAGTCTTATGAACAGAAGTCCTGTTATTTACAACAACACAGATGAAAATGAGAACTTTAGGTTATTTAAAATAAGCCAGGTACTGAAAGACTAAAAAACTACAGGTTTCATTTATGTGAGCTGTTCTGGCAGCTGTCCCTCACTGGCAGCTGTCCTGTGTACATCTATATTACATAGATCAGTTACTAAGATTTAAATTGGCAGTTAGTATAATTTATAAAGTTTCTATGATTATTTTCTTTGTTTTATTAGTTTTTACTTTTCCTTGGAAAAAATTTTAAAGATTTATTTTTTAATGGTATGAATGTGTGTTTATGTGGACATGTACCTATAAGTATGGGTACCTACAGAGGCCAGAAGAGGGATTCTGAACATGTGGAGCTGGAGTTATAGGTGGTTGTGAGCTGCCCAGTGTGAGTGCTGGGAACTGAATTCCAGTCCTATGCAGAGCAGTGCATGCCCTTACCGCTGAGCAGTCTTTCCAGCCCATCCTTGAGTATTTCTAAAGCAGTAGATTATAACTGCTGTAAGAAACCCAGCCTTTAATCATGCCGGTAGATTTTATTTCCCTGCTGCTTTGGTTTCTCAAATGGGATGAAAAATCCACCATAATATTCACTATTGGACAAGATAAAAAATTATTATTAAGCATCTTAGAACTGTGCTAGAAGCTAACCAGCAGTATCTGCATAAACTAGCCTCTAAATGATAGTCTCGCACAGATAATAGGCTGTTAATAAGCTTTTGTTGAATCATTAAGTGTAATCTAAAGTTGACTTATAGGCACAAATTTGTTAATTAGGTAAATGAATGAATAGTGAATGTTAAATTTGCATCATAGAGGAGATTAAGGATAAATGCACTTAAAGATTAGATGCAAACTAAATATTTAAGTTCATCATTTGAGAAAAAAATCATGAAAGACAAGATAATTAACATGTTCTCATTCTGCATTTGTTCTTGCATATTTCAATTTTCTTAACTACATTTAAAAGGAGTCTAAAAAAGAAATCTCACATTTGTTGATTCTTCAGTGTGTCAAGCACTAAAATGGGTTTTTCTCATAGACTATTTTTTGCATCTGTATCTGTGTTT